GTTGGTTACAATGACTTAAACCAAGTAGGCTTGAGCATGGCACATCACTAGAATGGATGGCCAGTGGTCGAGGCGAATGAAGCGAGAGCCAAGGAGTAAACGCCTCCGATAAGCACGGTTGGCTACGTACGGTGCTAAAGTACATGCTGTACATGCTTTAGATACGCGCCTGAGGACGTCCACTGAAAAAGATGGATATACAAGAAGCGCCAGTGCAGGATCTAAAATGGAGTGCTACAAATTGCTAAAGTGAGGAATCGTGGCAACTTGGGAGGCCTTCATCCAACAGCAACTTGAGCAGTGAATCGCGATGACCGTCATGTTAGCTGTAGCCCAGAATGCCTAGCTAAAGAAGACATAGAGTTCTTATTGCAGTGCTCATGTACTTGAAAAATCTAAAAAAAGGTGTTAAGTATACAGTATAATTTACAATATGGACATGTCGGAGACTATAAAGATGAATGAAATAGTAAGAGTGGAGCAACGAGTTACATTTAATTGGCAAGGACAAAAAGGCAATGGAATAATTGCATTCCCACATCACTAATTAGGAGGCGAATGATTCTCACAGCCTCGCTGCAGATGAGCTGGGGGGAAAAAAAAGGGGGCCCCATTCTACTAATGGGCAACCCTTGTCACTCAGAACGCTACATGAGACAGCTGTAGTTATCAGCCTGAAATATTAATGTCCGAGCAGCACTGCTGTTCATCATCCTATTAATTAAGGACCTAGGTGTCAGTACCCAAGGTATGAAAATAGATCGCAACAACCGGTCAAGGGATGGTTGAATATATACTGTAGAGTATTCAAATTGGTATACTTTGGGGGGAAAAAAAAGGACTGCTAAGACACCATCCGCAATTATAAAATCGGTAGGTGACAACCTCCTTGTGTCGAATTCTACATAAAAGGAAAAGCATCAACATTACTAACAGATGCTATTTTGGGATGTTAGCATCATGGATAGAATGCATCAAGTATAGCAATACAAAATTAAGTTTAATGTGCATTTTTACCATCCCATCCCCATAACCTCTGCATGGGAACACACAAAAGTAATGCTTATTTATCGTCAAGTAATAAAAAAACACCGAAGGCCATCTCTGGCTCCGTTCAAATGCAAAAACAGTTATTTGTGCAAATCGGTCCTGGAGGAAATCCACAAAAGTTCAGCTCGAGGACAAACCCAAAAACAAACACTGCAGGACCAAAATACACCTCGACCATCTCCTCCTTGAAAAGCACACTTATCATTACAGGAAGTCAAACAATAACATGTTGTACCATACATCTATGCTCACCTGCAACCGGTATGGTCAAATGTTTAGGCGAAGGCTGCAAGGTGACAGAACGAGAAAGGACGGACGATGCTGTCAGCAACACGAGTGTGGGGTTAAAGCGACACTAAATCAGGTAACGGTGTTAATAATAATAACGATGAATGTGAAATTACGTAAGGGGGGAGGGGGGGGGGGAGACATAAATTGGGAACTTATTGTAATTATAGAAAAAAAAATCAGGACAATACAATCAGAAGCAGGGGTGGAGAAATAGGTAAATCATGACCTCTCAAAAAAGGAACAAGGGTCAAGCCAAATGTATGGTTTAGTTTAAAACTTCAATGTAAATTAAGCTAAATATGCACACTGAAAAAAAAAGGTTGAAACAATTACTTGAAGATCAAGTGAAAAAACATTCTTTATTGTACTGAAATACATTGGGTTATACAATTACAAAAATGTAGACAAAATAGTGAAACGTGACAACAGAATGACGTGAAAACAAACTTAGTTACAATGAATCAAAACGACACATTAAATTATACTGGTCTTAAAAAATGAATGGAAAATAGGTGGCATTTTGGCCAATGGGCCTTCATGGCACATAACAAATAACTTGTATTTAAGCAATAATTTGTGCCATAGTCAGACTATTGGTTACTTCCGGATAATAAATTATTACACATCCTTTCCTTGACCGTTTTCAAAACAGTTAAAATTTTCTAATTAGATCTTCCACACAGCTGGATAATGGCAATCACCTTTACATTATTGTGCAAAAGCACCGCAACAAAAATACAAAAAATCTTAAGTAAACAAAAACATAACATTACAACATGACCACGTGTTCGAACACAATTGTGTTGGCCTAAACGGGTACCCATTTAAGCAGACATACATATGCATAAATGACACATTTCCAAGCACACAATCACATCTCTTAACAAAATAGATTCTCCCTTACTGCACTGGCATGTCAGCTGGTTGAGGTTTGGTTTCTTCTACTAGGGGCGAGAGAAATTTAGATTGCTAAAAGGCAGCTAGTGGAACATCTACCAGCAATTCTCACCAAGCGGTGCTCAGACGACTGACATCAAGCATTGACTTCACCGACCATGGGATACGTCTGAAGTCTAGCCTGATCAAGAAATAAATTTAAGGCAATGCAATCGAGATCAATGCTGTAACAGCTATGCAGTACACGGCTAATAAACAGGAAAACAAAAAAAATCGGAGACGATTTCGCATCGCGCGGCAATTTAAGGTGTTGTATTTCAGAAGACATTTTTCATTTCCATTCCACATTAATTTACAAGTTAGCAAGAAAACCTCATGAGACAAACACCTGGCTGCTCGTGGAGGTGAGCAAAAACCTTGCACTATTTTAATCTTTCCAAGAACCATTGCAAAAAAAAAAATCACACCAAGCGCAGATTTCTATCCAGAGAAGACACAAAACGAGTGCACACGTGTCCTTCATTATGATCAGTAATTTAAAAACACGCAAAGCTGCAAACACGGCACCTATTACAATGCTTTGGTTGCGATGTCACAACGATTGTACCTCGGCAGTTGAAACATTGGGTGGGTCTATTTATTTAAAAAAAAATGGCATTTCACGCGCGGTGAGATGAAGTGTGGGTACCCTCACCTCTTCGAAAAGGCGTCTGGCCAGTGTGGATGAACAGGCCAAAATAACATCCAGGAGGGGTTCCAAAGAGCTCCCTCCAGTGGAGGTCCTTCTGCCAACAGTGGCTACAGCAAGCAGTTGCAGGGCTGCACCTTACAATTACCGCCTGGCTCGGTGCATTGTATCCCCCTCCCATTGCGAATGCAACCTCTGCCCCTTGATAATGAACAATGGATATTAATCAAATAAATAGACAAATAAACAAACCCCGCGATGTGCTTCATATTAGTAGACCTCTGGTCGTGTGTGTGTGTCATCTTCCAGGTGGAGACTTAATTGCAATTAAAGTAAATAATTTTCAATTCGAGCACAACTATTAGGCAGAAACTTCCACCTTGCCAAGCTGGAAGGGACGTCCGTTTTGGATCAAAAACAGACGCAAGACAATATTGAACACTGTATAAATACAAATGTCATGAATGCTTAGGATACATATTATAATGTACATTGTACATGCCCCCCCTTCCCACCCGTACACCGAGTGCGCTCCTGCCAGTGCCAGATGTGAAACGCCCAATAAAAATGTACGTACATATTGCATAAATATGCAATATATTGTACGCTCCGAAAAAAGAAACAAAAGTACTATACGCAGGGTGCATAAAAGCTGTAAATATTTCGTGCTTGCTGTTAGGGTCTACAAATAAAAATGCTGTAAATTTGTATCATTTTTAAATCCATCAACACCTCAAACCCTGATCACACCATCCATGGCTATCCAGCAGTCTAAAATTTGACACCTTTGTCAATAAAGATGTTATAAAACCACACAGCAGTGAGAGAATTAAGCAGCAGTAATGAAACAGTGCAAGAAACAAAACATCGGCGTATCCTCCTGGTAACGGTTTCTCGCAAACAATTTAATTTCACGCTGCAGTTGTGTACATCTGTTGTAATGTGCAAAGGTCAACCTTTGAAAATGCACTGCTTGTCACACAAGTTTAAATCAAATGTTCGCTGGAAATATTTAAACAAAAAGAAAAAAAATCTTTGTCCATGACCAAACCACAAATCACGCTCACCGGTGCCAAACCTTTTCAAACATGCTCCGGCTGACAAACGAACGTTATCGCCACCCAGTATTGGGCTGTGGATTGTGTGGCACCCTGGAAACAGGAGCAATGCGGTCGACTCGACATCCACCGTTGCCAGTAATTGGCTCCCCTGGGAGGGATGGAACTTGGACAGCAGCCAAAAAAAACCGGAAAGCAGCAGTAGCATCATCATCATCTCGCGAACAGCCGAGTCCGCGTGACGGCAAGCCTTTGGGCAGAGTGCATTTGCGAATAATAACGGCACACGAGCCCAAGAGCCATCGCCCGTGACATCAAAAACACGGGTGAGCTGCATGACAATACTGCGGGGCTTCGGTGTGCGGATCTGTCATCGTGCCCGAGAATTAAGGCTCAAAACTGGAGCAACAGGAAAGTATCTCAAAAACACCACGAGGGATGTGGCGTATATACACAGCATTACGATGGTGAATAGGTCCAATGCTGGGCACACCAAGTTGAGATTTAAAAAAAAAAACGTGAAAAACCACACGTACGCCCGCCACTGCATTAGTGCTTAAAAATACAATTAATTAGGTTCTGAATTTTTTTAAATAAATGACCACGTTGTACGAAATAAACATTCATATGAACATTATTTTTGTAGTTGAAAGTACATTTAATCAAGAATTCAGACCATGCAAAACAGAGAAGAATGTTGGCTGCCAATTGTTGTTCTGAGTTTACTGCATTAAGGAGAGGTAAGTCCAGCAGTTCACACCATGAACACAAGTTCAATGCCCAGCCACGGCTAACAAACCAACAGAGCAGTGAAGGCCAAACCCACATAACCAATATGGTGTGGCAAGTCCTTCACACAGCAGCGGCTTAACCATTATTTACAATTTTTATTGCACCACATTTCTCATTTACCAATCTGCTATCTTGAAGAAAATTACATCATGGATTGGCATCTCCACAAGCAGTACAAAGGGGATGGTAAGAATAATTGCACACAAACAGACTGGTCACCATACCTGTATAAAGATGGGAATCTTACATTAAAAAAAGGCTTCGTTGAAAAGGATCTTGAAAACAGCAGTAAAACAACGCGTTCTTAGTCGCATCAAGAAGACCACGTGTTCAATATGGTGTATAATAAGCTACAATCAATTTAATCACAACACGAGTATTCCTTGAAGCACACAATTTAGGAGTTGCACATTAGCAAACCCAGCAGAGATCCATGTTCATGTTTTGTACCACAGCTGCTCTTAAAATCCCAACAGAAATTATAATAAAGTCGTAAAGTCACACGTCCGCCCGACTGCCACCTGGTAGAAATATGGCACGTCACCCCCTCAGGCGTGGGCCCTTCGTAAACACAGCCGGTGCAGCCCCGCAGTGCCGTATGGCCACAGCTTCTTTGGAGTTTATATAAAAGAAAGCTACATGGATTGCATAAGAACATCACACCGTGGGTGCCAGCACTTAATTTAAACACAAGCTGGCCACTCTTTCACACACCGTGCCCCCCTTCTCTGTTCAACACCAAACCACCCCTTTGGGCAATAGTGAGAGGGGGAACATTTTAGTTCTGCCAATGAGAGTTGGTATTGAGACGCAGAGGATACAGTATTAACCACGTTTACTGGATATCTGTGGAAGAGCTTTATAGCTCATCGGATTCCTCCAACATATATATTCTGATTTGTCACCGTGCCATAACCATACAATGTGGGGGGGGGGGGGTTACACAGGGAGTGGGGAGTCTATTGGTCTATGGGTCTCGGTGCGAGTCTATGGGTCTCGGTGCGAGTCTATGGGTCTCGGTGCGAGTCTATGGGTCTCGGTGCGAGTCTATGGGTCTCGGTGCGAGTCTATGGGTCTCGGTGCGAGTCTATGGGTCTCGGTGCGAGTCTATGGGTCTCGGTGCGAGTCTATGGGTCTCGGTGCGAGTCTATGGGTCTCGGTGCGAGTCTATGGGTCTCGGTGCGAGTCTATGGGTCTCGGTGCGAGTCTATGGGTCTCGGTGCGAGTCTATGGGTCTCGGTGCGAGTCTATGGGTCTCGGTGCGAGTCTATGGGTCTCGGTGCGAGTCTATGGGTCTCGGTGCGAGTCTATGGGTCTCGGTGCCAGTCTATGGGTCTCGGTGCCAGTCTATGGGTCTCGGTGCCAGTCTATGGGTCTCGGTGCCAGTCTATGGGTCTCGGTGCGAGTCTATGGGTCTCGGTGCGAGTCTATGGGTCTCGGTGCGAGTCTATGGGTCTCGGTGCGAGTCTATGGGTCTCGGTGCGAGTCTATGGGTCTCGGTGCGAGTCTATGGGTCTCGGTGCGAGTCTATGGGTCTCGGTGCGAGTCTATGGGTCTCGGTGCGAGTCTATGGGTCTCGGTGCGAGTCTATGGGTCTCGGTGCGAGTCTATGGGTCTCGGTGCGAGTCTATGGGTCTCGGTGCGAGTCTATGGGTCTCGGTGCGAGTCTATGGGTCTCGGTGCGAGTCTATGGGTCTCGGTGCGAGTCTATGGGTCTCGGTGCGAGTCTATGGGTCTCGGTGCGAGTCTATGGGTCTCGGTGCGAGTCTATGGGTCTCGGTGCGAGTCTATGGGTCTCCGTGCGAGTCTATGGGTCTCCGTGCGAGTCTATGGGTCTCCGTGCGAGTCTATGGGTCTCCGTGCGAGTCTATGGGTCTCCGTGCGAGTCTATGGGTCTCCGTGCGAGTCTATGGGTCAGGGATCCAACGGGTTGCGGTCAGAGCGAGCGCCTCCGATTGGTTACGGCATCGCGTTTCAAGATTGGCGGTGGATTCTTTTATTTTAAAAAAATTGGGTGCGCAATTACAATTGCCGTCAATGGTTGATACGTCTGTGACAACCAATAAATAGTAATTGCAGTATATTTGCGCTATGAAGGGTCACGGCCCAAACCATCGCCTATTATAGCCATCCGCTTTAGGGCACCGTTATTTACAGTGTCGTGTTGCGTTATTAGTGCGCGTGGACACCACTGCCAAGCATCATCGGCAAATAAAGTCGGCAGTATTTCTGTACCGACAGGTACGCGACTTGCCCTGCGGAAGGCGTGGGAAGAAGCGTTCAGGGAGATACGGGACGAGACGCCACATGCCCAAGGGAACGGATATATACCCGGAGGCATACCCAGAGAAACGATGCAAACAAAAAACCGAAATGAGAGACCTGCACAAGAGGGGACAAGCCAAGGGGGGGGGGGGGGGGGGGACAGAACAATATCCATGCGGGACAACAACAAATAAATAAAACCCACTTCACCCGTAAACAATTCCGTGCAACACAAAGCTGCTGCGGCCACGGTGGCGCGCGCGGGTATAAGAGAGTGGTGGGTAATGAACACCAAAAGCAAGCGACTACCAACACCACCACCATCACCACGCAGCCAGTCCCTCGCACCAGCGACGGCGCCGAGCATGGACATGAAGCGAGGAGGACGAGGATGATGATGGCTGGTGGCACAGAGCGATGCTTACTTGCGCCGTCGCATGGTCGGGATGCCGGCGAAGCGCTGCATGAAAACAGAGGTCCGTTACTTCCGGGTTGCGAGCACGTGCTTCCGGGGTCAACTTGCCAGGGTCACGGGGCAAGCGCTTTTATTTATTTGAGTTGTCCCAAGTGACTCCCGGTGACAATTATACCTGCTGAGGATTATACGCCCATCCCCCTACTCACCCTTGAGATCATTTAACCCAGACGCACCCATTGAGATTCTGCCTGCTGATTATAACCCCCCATTGAGATCGTTTAACCCGGTCGCACCCATTGAGATCATTTAACCCGGTCGCACACATTGGCATTCTACCAGCTGATCATAACCCCCCCATTGAGATCATATGACCAGGTTATTCCCATCGAGATTCCACCCGCCGAGAACCCCCATTGAGATAATTTAACTCGGTCACATCCATTGAGATTCTCGCTTCTGATACCACCCATTGAGATGCTGACTTGGGATCATAACACCCAATGAGATACGATCTGCTGACATCTAATGCGATTGAATGTGCTTTAATTGGCAAGGTGGGGTCTTGTGTTATTTCATGTACAGTACAATAAACTAGGCTGGTTTCCGTCGGCTTTAATTACCTACTTCAACATTAATTCACAGCGTGGAGTTAACAGCGGGCAATTTTCAATTTGTGAGATTTTGAGACAATTGACATGCAACCATGGCCAATTAAACTTCGGCGGGAGGGGGGGGACTAGGGAAGGGTGAGAGGGGGCGGGCTGTGGGTGAGTTGGGGGGGGGTCCTTTGAGTTATTTGCGGCGTATTTGCGGTAGTTTGCAGTAATTAGTCAAACCGATCATCGTAAATATGTGTGTATGCAGTGGTTCTCAACCTCATTTGGTTACTTGTACCCCCTTGCTTAATTTCGTTTCAACCCGATAAGACCCCTTTGCCTGACCCAACATGATTCTGAAAAATAAATGTATGACTAAAAGAATCAATATTTTAACCCCTCGCAAGCGAATAAAACATTTCAAAGGACGCTCTTCATGCACGGCGTAATTTGTCTGCACTCGCTGGCTACCCTTGGAAACCACATTGTTTGCGATCAATGAGTTTGGAAAGGTATTTAATATCGTTCGAGGTGACCATATGGATTAACATTTTATCCGAGTTGTTTTATCTTGGCAGATTTTCATACGTGATTATTCACCAACGACTCTCACGCATGCAATAATTTAACAACATTAAACACATTCCTGCGGAGGGATGCTGATAGGAACGTTGGGTTGCTCGGTCAATGGCCAGGGTTAACGGCGGCAGTGGTGTATTCCGCAAATAGTGCCCGACTGTGAGGGCGGGCACAAGCCGGCGTGAATAGGTTAAACGTTGAGTTTTATAAGGGCACCACGGGGTGACCAGCCCCCCACCCCTCCCACCCCCACCCAGCCCCTCCCCACCCAGCCCCTCCCTTCTCGACGGACGGACGGACACAATAATCCCATGTGGGCTGGTGTAACCAGGATGTTCCTACCAGTATAAATCACATCATGTACCCCCTGGGACATTTCCACGTCCCCCAGGGGTCTGCGTACCCCCGATTGAGAACCACTGTATGTGGATCTTTGCCAACCGTGCTAATCGGTGGTGCGAATCGTGTTTATTATCCAAATTCAAACAAAATATTATTAACCGGGCATCTGTGGTGAGTGAAAAGATCGCTCGTTTACCACCCATTGTGGCCCATTGTGTGGCAACATCTCGAAGCACAAAACCACAGCCACGTGTACCCTAATCACGATCCTTGTTAATTACAATTATTCTTAATTACAATCATTCTGCTGTGCCGCTGGATTCCAATTAAATAAGCATATCCAGGTGGAGCTGTGGCTCTGTGGATTTCGTCCACTTGGGCTATGAGTTCGATTCCCGGCAACGGCTAACATCAGTGGCTGGCGACATCTGAATCAGTCCCCGGGCCCTCCTCCCCCTCCTGCACCAGTGGGGTGAAGTATAGTCCAACCACCAACAACGAGCATTCATCCATGAGTGGATTAACAACAATAAGCATTTCCATACTACACTGCTCATTGTCGAGTATATTGTCTGCCAATCTATTTAGCGATATTCCCCACAATGATGCTCGCTATTATGAGTTATGGATTACTATCTAAGTTTTTGTCGAACAACGACTCGTATCTTAAAGAGGAACAGCCGTGCCGATAACATTAGGCACATCACCAGCAGCATTGATTCAAGCGAGCCTGACTGCAGCTGATGAGACACTGGCTGTCGAAACTGATCCTGAGTATCCTTCTACTGAATCGATGCCGCTGAAATTATCCACTACCAGAAGGCAGTAGGGATGTGTAAAAGATTTCTACTTTTATTATTAAATGTAGAGAGACACTATATATTACGGAGACATTACTTTTGTTTAAATTCCAATCACGATTATTACATATCTACACGTCTAATAATCAACACGACGGGTACATTTAAGAAGACGTATAACACGTGGTCTGCATTGAAATTCATAAATAATTAGAATGATCCCGCTCAACATTGCTTATTCAATCCGCCTTCTGTACTGCGATTAACGAACAGTGTTCTCATCAACAAGAAAGGTTTGAAAAGTGTGTCACTTTAACAAAACGTGCCAATTAGTTACGATTTACAATTTGTACTCAAATTGTAAATGTAGTGGATTGTATTCAAATTGTAAATGTGTATTTAGGGGCCGTCCATAAATGATGTCACGAGATATTGGAGGATTTTTGACCCCCCCCCCCCGTCACAAAAAAGTCAGACCCCCCCTCAAATATGACGTCACAAAGCTCTGCCCCCCCCCCAAAAAAACATATTTACATTTTGAAAATAAACGTGCTTCAAATCGCTTTAAACTATTGTCATTGTAGTGCGTATTTAATGTGGCGCTGCACTCTGATGTTGTCGGAGTGTTGTTATAACAATTAGTGTTGTTATAACGATTCTATATTTATTTAAAGTTGCGCATTTTGATGTGACGTCACATTTCTCAAACCCCCCCCCCCCCTTGTCACGCATCGTCACAAATGTCTGACCCCCTCCCCCTAGGTGCGTGACGTCATTTATGGACGGTCCCCTTACTGGCGAAACGTCGTACTTGAATTGTAAATGTTGTGGGTTTATTCTCCGACACACAACCGGTGTGCTGTACTAGTAACGTTCTGTTTACGTGACA